TGGAGTTGTGTATGTAATATTTTTGTTACATGCAGGATGCTACTGTCTAGTTGCTCTTCTGGTTGCAGCTGTGGGAGTTCTTGCCTCAATAAACCATTCCAAAACCGACCTATAAAAAATTTGAAATTGATTCAGGTATAGTTTGGATTTTTTCTTAATCTCGATTCTATGTGTTTTGTTGAAGTTTTCATCAGACTGGGATTTTATCCATGTCTAAAGGGAGTAAGTATTCTTTAGTGTAAGTATTCTTTAATGCAAGTGTTGAAACCCTTTAGGATCTGTAGAAGCATACGGGAAAGAGCTGATCTCTTCCGAATAATGGCTACGCTTGCCTATTTTACCTTCCCTTTTTTATTGAAAGAGTATAACATGAATTTGTTCACATGACACTGTTAATAAAAAGTCTTGTGTCCATATGCTAAGAGACGATTTGTGCATTTTGTTGGAAACTGGTTACTCTCAATTGACTTTTCTTGTTTGTACACTTTGAAATGCGAAATTAAATGAGGTAATACTTGTAGACCGAGAAATGTGGGGCTGGCATTGTGGCAGATGAAGATATTAAGCATGGAGAGTTTGTAATAGAATACGTGGGGGAAGGTAAGTAACTCTGGCCCTATCCATTGTAGTTGCTATCCCTATAATAAACAGCTCATATTTTACTTTTTGGAGTTTGTAATTTTTTAATGGTCTTTTGCCACTGTAGTTATTGATGACAAAACATGCGAGGAGAGACTTTGGAAGATGAAGCACCGTGGAGAAACCAATTTCTACTTATGTGAAATCAATCGTGATATGGTAATTGATGCCACATACAAGGGGAACAAATCCAGATATATAAACCATAGTTGCTGCCCCAATACTGAGATGCAGAAATGGTTCTCTACCAATCCATATTAGTAGACTTGCATTAATATCAAGTGATATGCTAATCTCACACTCTTTCTTTGTTTATTTTACCTTTGTCAGGATAATTGATGGTGAAACAAGGATTGGCATATTTGCATTGCGAGATATAAAAAAGGGCGAGCCTCTGACCTATGATTATCAGTATGAGTGCTTGCCTGACTCTCTGCATGTGAAAAGAAATATATTTGTGTCATTTCATTCACGGATAATAAAATCGATCCTTTTCCATATAAAATGCTGAAGCCACTGGTATTGGCTCCTTTGAAACCATTACTCTTAGTACAACAGTCTAACAAATTTAGCAGGTTTGTTCAATTTGGTGCAGATCAAGATTGTCACTGTGGTTCGTCTGGCTGCAGGCGAAAGCTGGGGGTCAAACCTAGCAAGCCAAAGATGTCATCGGATGCTGCAGCATTAAAGCTAGTAGCATGCCAAGTGGTAATGTCCTCTCTGGCATTGAAATCTGTGTTATTCGGAAAAAGATGCACGTATTAAGAGGCCTTTTCTCAATATCAAGAATACAAGATGCGTTTCAAAGTTCAAACATGCCTTCTCTATTTACTTTGTGGTTATGGTTTAATTCTATGTTTTGCAATTTGGTTATGGTTTCAAGCCCTTTTGACCTATTCACTCCTTCCCTCTCTCCCTTCATATATTCTTTGATTCTTTGTAATTATCTGCTTTTCATATCCATGATGTATACATCTACGACTCGTTTTTATTCGATTGTAACCGAGTTGTTTTATTCTTTTTGGTTATTCTTTGTTGTCATCTTCAAAAAAAAAAAACTTGAACTAATTATCCTTTTTTTTTTGTTTTTTTGGATTAAGCAGAATGGAAGTTTGCCTGTTGGTTAGTGAATTGTTCTTTATCCTCTTTTTATATTAAATGCTTTGAGTGGATCAAATGTTTAAAGCCTGCACTTAACTTCAGGAACTTCTCGGCATGCTTATAATCAACAGCAAATGTGTTTTCGATGTTGCATCGGTGAAGTGATAAAAATGTCTCGTCCAATAAATGATAGGTATGTATGATCGATTCGACTTTCAAATATTGTGATAGGTTTAGTTGTTTAAATGGCCTGTACGTATGATTAATTTCTTTTCCCGAATTAAGTTACAATATCATAATGAAAGTAAAATTTTCTTGGAAGAACTTCGGACGGTTTTGTAGACGAAGGGAAATTCATTTTCATATATTTCAAGTAAGGAATACAATAGGGTACACAAAAGAAGTTACCAGTTGGCTTAGAAAGATGAAACTAGGAAACTAAGTCCGAATCGTATACAGTTTTAGAAAACAAGTCATTTGGATCTTTCTAAAGTCGGGTAAATATTTTGAATTGCTTCCGTTAGTCGGCTAAGTATTTGTTAAGTACCGTAGGTTCCTGGTCCTGTTTCGTATAGATTCTTATAAATTTCATTTCTGACTGAAAACTTTCAGTTACTTTGGGATTATTAAACGATTCGACAAGTATACGAAAAAGCACACGGTAAGAAAGTCTTCTTTTCCTTTTTTTGTTCAAGTACAACGATAATATGCAAGTTAAGTGCTTTTATGTGGTTGCAGGTCATGTTCGAAAATGGTGGCATTGAATTTCTCGAACTATCGAAAGAGGATTGGGAGCTCATCGCTTTGTAAGGTCAACCATAGGTAAGTACCATTGGAAATTGATATAGAGTATTTCGCCAAACAATTTGGCAGCCACTAAGACTCTTAGGAAACCATTGGTCTAGTGCTTGGAGATACATGCAATTGCTTGAGTTACAATTTAGCATATTGGAAATTAACAGAGAATTGTGCAAGTGTTTGTAGATTGATTTAGCGCCATCGAGATGAATTTTAGCATATTGTTTTTGGTAACAATGGTGACTGAACGTTTATGTCCGGAATCGGTTGTCTTGCAGGTACACCGCTGTTGAAGAAGAAATGCTAGCGGAAAGCCTGATATAAGCCGAGAAAATGGCTGGCTTCGGTAGCATTCATATGCAATGTACTAATGTTGTATTCTTTTTCCTGCACAATGAGACACACATCAGTGTGGTTTTTCTTTTACAAGTGTTCTCCATCTTTGTTGTATGAGGCCAAGGGATGTATTTTTCTTTCATTTTTGTTTAGAAAAAAAAAAACATAATCTTCCATTAGGTCAATGGATCTGTTGCAATGAAAACATAATCTTCAGTCTGCAAAATTGAAAGACCGGTTTTTTTATATAAAAAAAAAACCTGGTAATCAGGCAAAATTTTGACTTATCAATAAGCAAAGAAGTGCTGGCTTCCGGAAGATAATAGAATTTGCGACGGCGAAGAACGTGACTGATGACGAAAGAGAGAACGAGCATCATAATTTGAAGGAGAATGCCAACTCTGGCGACCTGCTGCTCTTGTACGGGGCTCACTTTCTCCGCGGTCGAATTCCTCATCTTCTCAATTTTTGAAAAGACGAAGACGCTTCACAAGGATCGGACGATCAAGAAACACTTCCGATAATGTCCTCATCAACGACGTCGAGTTTTACTGATGACGCCTATTACCGTAGACTTCTACTATTATTTTGTATTTAGGGTAAACTACATAAACGGTCACTAAAATATGAATAAGTTTTTACTTTTAGTACTGAAGTTTCAAAAGGAATGAAACAGTCACTAATGTTATCATTTTGTAACAGATCGGTCACTTATTCATTAACCATCGTTGCTGCAATGATAGAAATTTAATATAACATGTTTGGACGGCTGATTTGGTATTATTTGACCACGTTGACACCCTTTTCTTAAAACAGCAAGAGATCTGTTTGAAAATTCCAATGCTCATCAACCATGAATAGATCACTTACAGCTCAGATTCTTTTGGTGCTTCGATGCCCATCTGTTCAACTACGGGTCCAATAAAACAATCCCAATTATGTACTTTCATTTAATTTTCATTTCGTTTTAGTTGCGTTGTATTTATCACGATTGTGAACATAACATATACTATTGCAATCATTACAAGTATAGCAATCGTGCAATAACAATTTCGAACGAAATCAAATTTGTTATTTAACGACCGTTATTATGATAACAGACCGTTATTCTGTTAACGATATGTTATTTAAATCCTTGAACATGACAATGAATCTCTCTAAAACAACTATCAACCACACCAGCACGTGAAGATGGAAGAACATGATTTCTTCACTGCAGATGTTGAAGCTTGTAACTTCTTTTCGAATGAGTAAGTTTCATGTCTTTATTGGTGTCGACAGAATCACAGTGGAGTTAAAGGTAACTAATGTAGTTGATCAAATGGTATCAACATGGCCAAATAGTATTAACTCAATCGTCCACCAAATGTGCCAGAGTAGACTTCTGTGACTGTATAACGTTGTTAATGGTCGAGTGAATGATTTGTTACAAAACGATAACATTAGTGGTTGTTTCGTTATTTTTAAAACTTTAATATTGAAAACAGAAACTTACTCATACTCCAGTGATTATTTGTATAGTTTATTGCTATTTTTATACGTCTTCTTTCCCTTAAATTCTACTTTGCTTTAGAATTTTAAAAGGTACAAGAACTAAAGGCATAATTAAACCCTTACCTTCCTTTTTTTCCCCATAGATTTACTTTATTTAGTCCTAAAAATTTAATATTTATATGCATAATCGATTAAATTTATGATGTATTGATAAAACATATTAGTTTAATCATAATTGATATTAGATCATAGATTTTATTTCAAAAATCTCTTCCTTTTCTCCTTATATAAAAGTTATATAAATAACAATTATATATATTATAAAGTGCCTAATTAAATTACTGGCACAATTTATCAGTACTCACTAATTTTCTTTTTCAAACAAGCCAATTTTTAATAATTATCTAAACCTATTATAAAACTTCCTACTGAATTAATATCACAAAATTAATTAAACACTAATTAATTAAAAGTCGTAAAAATGTCTAATTGTTGCTTCCTCTCCATATTAATATCAAATATATAAAATATTATTATTTCAGGTATTTATAGTTTGGAATAAAAAAATTAGAAAATGATTTACGAAAAAATAAATTGCAAGTCATTTTCTTAAAAATGCAAAGGAAATTCTGTTAGCTAAATGAAATGAATTATATTGACCATTTGTTACCGCCAACTAAATATTAGAAAATGAAAAAAAACATTTTTTTTTAAAAACCAATTACAATAAAACAAAGCGACCTAAGTTTTATTTATATTTTCTTTAAATACGAACACCATATTTGTACCATAAATAGCGTAGTTGACTACAAGATACTTTAATGTTTGCTTGAGCAAGCCAAACCAGCAACGAGTCCATCAAGCTTCTATAGACACCAGCCCTTGGCCTTGACCCCGAGGAACGCCTAAGTCTCTCGATAGCTTCGTGCATAACTGCGGATACATTCAGGGATGGAACTAAGATTAGATAATAGAAGATCAAAGTTAATGGAGACTAGACAAAAAAAAAATTGTAGGGGGCAGGGCCGATTCCATTCCCTTGCTAGCTTCATCACTGAGTACATCATCGTTTCAATTGCAACCGAGAATGACAAATAATATGACGAGAGAATCGGAGTGATCGAGCGAAGGAAAACAGGAAAGAAATGGTGCACCTGTCTATAAACCGTAGAATCGCCATACGATTTTCTTAATTCAACCACATGCAATGATGGACTTATCTCAAACACCTGACAATGAAATATTTATACCAACAATGATCAATACAGGCGCAGGAGCTTGGTTGTGCAAATTTCTAGGAAAGAAACTGCTGAAACACACACACATTCCGAGTCAAAATAGACAACAAAAGAATTACCTCGGCTGCAACCGAAAGACTGCCGATGCACTTCTGGCCTCGGTGATCTCGTGTTGCTTTCAACTGAAATAAAGGAGCTTACAAAGTTTAGCACTATATGTTACCGTCGTTACGAGGCAGACCAAATTAACTGCAGGCACGTTACTACATGTCACCCATCGGTGTGTGTTAGTGTTCCGGTATCACTAAAGCGTTGAGCGAGACTATACAATGTACTAACCCTTCTGTTTTTCATTTTGACTCGAAATCCCATTTCTGTCACAATGTCTTGGATCCTTGCAAGCAAATCTTTAGCAGAATGATTGGATGTAAATCTGATCTTCCTTTCAGAGACATCCTGTGCATAAAAAGTGTGAATTAGAATGATATAATAGGAATCATATTGCATACAAATCACACCACTTACCTCCTCCTCGAAGAAACCGGAAAGGTCGAGGAAGGACGACATGCCTATCAACTGAAAAGCATTAATGAGCGTAGGTGATTCAGGACTTGTACTTCCATCGTATGCCTTCATAAAAAATAATGCTTCGATCAGTTATGTTTGAAACTTCCAAGTGAAGGACTCGTTACAGACTTACAGACGCAATTATAGGGAGCTCATACCACTTCAGACATTGAGAAGGCTTCATCATCAATGTATGTATCTTCTTCCTCATCATCAGGTACAGCAGGAGTATAGTCTTGATTAAACCATTCATCATTTTTTATTTCCGCCATTGTAATCCTGGTATCCGGATTCGGATCAAGTATCCTTCTTATCATGTTCCGAGCACCAGATGACAACCATTTAGGAATCTGAGTATCCCCTTTGCAAATCTGAAATCTCACTAGAGAGGATTAGATATCAGAGTTGACAAGGACATAGAAATCACCAACTATGGCCATCGAATACCTTCTGATAGAGAACTGCAAGATTTCGATCATCGAAAGGGAGATATCCGGTGAGAATTACGTATAAGATGACGCCGCATGACCATATGTCTGAGGTGGCACCATTATACCCTCTATTAGCAAGAATCTCTGGTGCAATATAGTTAGGACTTCCACATGTTGTACGCAGTAAGCCATCCTCCTGATATTTCTAATCGAATTCAAAACTAGAACATAAAATCTTTTTCTTTCTCATGAATTTCTTCTCTAAAAGAGTACTTTACCCTAATATGTCGAGCCAAAGCACTGAGGCCAAAATCAGATATCTTTATGTTACCATTTGCATCGATAAGTACATTTTCGAGCTGAAACATAGAAAGAACAGATTTTAGCAGACTAACTTCATGAAATTCATATATCATGTTTGATTTTGCTTTAACATATTTAGAGGACATGGAAATGACCTTGAGATCCCTGTGGAAAACACCTTGGTCGTGGCAGTAACCGACACCATCGATTAATTGCTGGAAGAACTTCCTTCCTTCAGCTTCCTCCAGCTTCCCTTCGGAGACCTGTGATACCAGACGCTGCTAAAGAATGCAACTAAATTTAATATTACTGCAGAAGAAACCCCGGAAATTCGAGTCACTTACAATTTTGTCAAACAATTCCCCTCCGGTTGCATATTCTAGGACCATGTAAATTTTAGTTTTGCTTGCCAAAACCTGCAAGTTTAAAGGAAAGGCATCACTAGAGTCATTAGCTGAATGTTCAACTTAGCTAGAGGTAAGCATGCGCGCACACACACACACGTTGAAAAGCTAAAACTCCGACGATCAGACCGCATTCTTCATACTCGAATCGTCTTTAATTTGCAAATCTCAAGTCTCACACTCGCTAAGAATAGAGAGGACAGTGATGAATTAACCCAGAACTCGAAGCTAAAAAACTGGCCTAGACACATTTAGGAGTTTGTACTGGTTATCAGAAGATATAGTTCAATATCAAGTACAACTACTCCACTTGCACTACCTAGCTAGCCTTGGATCCTTCTGCATGTATTTTACAATAAAATCTCGTCTCTTTGGTTGTTTTCGGTTTTCGTTCTTTAATTTTTCTCGGAGAAAACACCTCGCTTCTCAATTTCCGTTTCCGATATCACGTGAAATCTAGCTGGGGCATGTGGGATTCAATTGATGTGGCCATGGAGCACAGAGAGTGAAAGAGCAACGCCAGGCCAACATTAGCCAGAAATGGCCCCCATACTCGTGAATAACACCGAACCAGATTTATGGACCCAATTCACTGTGGCACACCCACTTCACGTTCAGAAGCATAATAGTTCGAGACATCTATATATATATGTGTGTGTGTTTGTTTTTGTATGTAAATGATATGAAAAAATCTTAGGGGTGAGAGGTGGTAAGTGGTGTAAGAACTTTTGAACCATGCATTTTTGGTATAATTATGCATTCAGTCCCTGTAATCTTTCAACTTTCGAAATTTAATCATATATTTTTCTAATTTAATAAATTTAATCCCTCAACTTGTCTACTTTAAAAACAAAGTCTAGCCTTATTGATAACAGTTATTCAAATTTAACCGAAGAAGAGTAACTCGATTCTTGTAACTAAAAGTAGAGGGAACAAATTCCGGAAGTACGAAAAACGAAAACCGCATCGACATCTATATCTTTCAACTTTAAATCTTTATCATGATCGCCCAGATAATTAATCATCAGTATTATACTTAAAACATTGGTTTAGTGGATAATAACAATAACTTGGCAATAAAAGAAAAGCACGATAGTAACAATATAGGTCTAATTTGCGCCTATTCCCTCTACTCTTAAGACATGCTAAATTTAGTCCCTCTATTCTAATTGCAGCATTTATCTATTGATACAGGGACTTGGAACATGATTAAACATTAAAATACTACCTCATGTAAACGAACCACATTGGGGTGTTTGAGCAGCTTCAAGGTGGAGATTTCTCTCTTAATCTGCAAAAAAAAATGATTAAGAAACCGATAACCCATTGAAGAAGAGAATAAGTATATATGGAAAATTTGAAATGAAATAGGGGAGACCTGATCGGTGATGTTGAGTTGAATGAGCCTGGATTTGTCGATGATCTTAACAGCAAAAGGAAGAGACGAATGGAGATTCTTAGCTAATTTAACTTTGGCGAAGTTTCCTTCTCCTAGTGTTCTCACTAACTCGTAATTCCCCAGCTGCAGAATCCCTTTCTTCTTCTCCTCCTCTGTTGTTGTTCTCTTTCTGTTGCTCATTCGCTCCTCCACCTTATTTCATCTCTTAATCTCAATCACCTCATAAATAATAACGTAACAATATATACATGAAGTCGTATTCCTTGAAAATTTTAAACTTTTTATATAATTTATGTATTTTTTTATTTTTTATTAGTAATTTAATTTCAAGATTTTATAATTTCACCTCTCTTGATATTTTAATATAATAAAATACATATTTTTCCACATAAAATAACGTGTCTGTTCTAATGTATAAATTCAATTAGATACCTACAAAACAATAAAAGATTTAGAGTAAACTATGTATTTAGTCATCAATTATTATTTTAATTTTGTTTTGATCATCTAACTTTTTTTCATAATCATACCTTACGTTATATTTTACTTATTCGCTGTTAAAAAATAAACAGAACTGTTAAAGTGACAATTTTTTTATTTTTTTAATAATGGGTGACTAAACAGAAACAAAATGTAAATTTATGATTCTTTTAAATAATAGTAGGTGACCGGAACGAAAATAAAATGATTATTTGGTGACTAAATACGAGTTTACCCAAAGATTTAATTAGATCTTATATTAACACAAAAATAAAAGATTTGATGTCAAATCTTAACGACACGAATTTCAAGTTTGATCAGGGATATATGTGTGTGTATAAGATGAAGAATGATATGAAAGACGGACTATTATTAACATTAAATCGGACTATTATTACTTGACTTTAAATTTTATAATAAAATTAATATATTTTCTTAATTTAATTATTAAATATTTTTAACCTTAAATATTTTATGTGCTACTCAGGAGTCGAGGCTCACAATTTTCCACATATTCAACACCACCTAATATCATACAAGTGTCCATATTGTTTAATACACACCGATTTTCATTACATACAAATCTATATCGAAACCAATGATGTCACTACCATTGGTCAGCAATCGTTTCTGCTACCTTTCCACCGCCACCACTCACGGCTTTGTCGTGACATGGTTGTGGAGTTAAAGCTTCCACTCGTGTCATTTTTCACTTTTCAACTTTTTATGTAATTCTTGCCACCAGTTTCTTAAACTAAAATACAACTTTAAAAAAGGTAAATTTCACATTAGAATATAGGGTATACTACACATTCTGTACTCTAACTATCACATTTTTCATTTTGGTTATCCAATTATTTTTTTATTTTAAAATTATATATAACTTTAGATTTTAATTTTATTTTTGTCACCTAACGTAAAAAAATTATTGGTAACATTAATATGTTACCATAAGATAATGTCAAGTCATTACTGAATTTAAAAAAAAAACACTTCAGCGGCTCTATTATTTTTTAAAGAAGAGGGACCAAAATGAAATTAAAACGTAATATTGAGTATGAGTTTGAAAGTAAGAAAATAATTAGGTAATCAAAACAAAAATGATATTTGAAGTATTAAACATGTAGTTTGACCTAGAATATATAAATAATGGATATTAAATGTGTAATTATATTGGTTTTTATTAATTGTCAAACGTTTGGATTATTTTGGCTCTAAATTAAAAAATGTTGAAGATCAAAATACATCGAAGGATAAATAAAATGCTATAATGCATAATAAAAAATTGGGGGTCACATTTGATAAATAACATAAACATGAAAGAAATATTAGATAATCATTCGATCATTAAAAACAATTATAAATTGAATTGAGTTTAACAATTTTGTTCCCAATTTGACCAAGCTCATAAGCTTAATAAGTAACTTGATCCATGAACAAAAAAACCCTAATGACATCATCTTATTTAATAATGTTTAATACATCATATAAAATAACCATGGAAAAGAAAGGTTATTTTCAGATAAAATTCAATGTTTCCCTTTCCTACTTGAATAGCTTTGCTTCTTGAATAACCACCAAAAGTACAACAAGTGCAAAGATGAGGAACATCCTTGAATTGAACAAAGGAAGTAGAAGATACACAAATGGAGTTTCTAAAAAATACACAAGGCCGATGGTATGTCGGTTTATGTCTCGAAAAAACGAAGCTCCACCATAAATTCTTGATGCTTTGGGGAGTACCAAGCAACAGCCTTTGCAGAAAAGAGGACGTGCAATGCATATTCGATTGCAAACACAGGCTGGTCTGCCTGTATGCGCCAACTTTTGTCCTTGAAATCAATTAAGACTCCCGAATCAACTCTAAAACTGAAAGGTCCGGCAATCTGTAATAAAAATAACGAATAATGAAACTTGCTGCTCAAAGCTCCGCTCAAACGAATCCAATACTAATATCTAAAGCTCAAGATCCGCTTGAAAAAAAATCAAGCTATTCAAAGTTTCAAACTTGGCTCGATTATGCTCGTTTACACAAGTTATATACTCAAACTCAAGTTCAAGCACATTTTATACTCTATTTTTTAATATCAAAATATTAAAGAAATATTTACAAATAAAAAGCTATATTAGGCTTGCGAGCTGCTCGAATAGAGTATTAAGATACTCAAACTCGGTTTGCCTGATAGCTTGACCTGGGACTTGGATAGCTTATGAGCACAATTGTACAAGTGGCTCATTTACATACCTATTCCAAGCTATGCATGAAAGTCAATAAAGTGTTATCACAAAAATAGCAGAAAATACTACCTTGGCTTCAGCTGCCATTATTTTTAACATCCTAAATCAGTATGACAAAAGAATTATTTAAAAAGAAATACCTGCTGCTGAAGTGAAAGGGTGGTAGTTGGGAAGATCGTTTTTATTGCTTCGGAACTAGGCTGGTGTGAATTCAAAAGATCTTGAGCTAATTGTGTGGCACCTATCAGGAATTTAGAACCAGAGGGGAAATCCATGCGAGCGTGAAATCTTGTAAGATCAGAAAATAGCCGTTGGAAGTTCCCATGCTGGGCTGTAAATGACATGGATGCAAATATCCCCTAGAAAGGAAGATTTTAGAGTTGGATGATGCAATGATAACTGCTTAATATCTTTAGCTTCTTCAACTAATCTGGCTGAACCTTCCCCAAAATTCGCACTCAAAGCAGCACCTATGCATATAAAACAAGGATATTTCTATTATTTTCACAAGAGCTGCAGTCATCACTATAGAACCATTCATGAACTACACAGCAACAATAGTGCCAGAACAAGATGTCAATAGATATTTAAATTATGAATTATAATAAATCGAGATAAAGTGATAAGAACCCCTTCCACTATAAACATCTAGTTTACGAAAAGTTCAGGGAGTCTTTGGGGTACTTTTTGTTAAATCTTACCAATGGTTCCCGATGCTGAAACGTGGGGATCTGAAAGGAAAATGTCATAAGGTTGAACCATCTTGAGTTTCTGAGCTTGGCTCCTCCAAATGTCAACATTCTTCTCGTAAGAAAAGGCACATTTAGCAGAAAAACCAGGAAGTAGAGAAGCGGGGACTCGAGCGATGGTATCACCTTGAAATTGCTTTGGTGACCCATGGTTATGGTGTAGGCACAAATGATAACTTGGACCAGAATCTGAAGGAAGAGAAGCCAAATCAAGTGCCATGGAGAAGGGTACATCCCAGTAATCACCAGTCTCTTTGTCCACAAAGAGAGCTGGCCAAGCTGCATCTACCGTCAAATTATGTTGCAAAAACTGCCATAGAAGCAAAGCATACATGTGTTCTACTTAGTATACATTGTAGTAGCAGGGAATATAGGTCTAATTATGAATTTCAACCCTAAAACTGAGAAGTTAGTCCCTCTATTTTAATTTGTCGAATTATATGCACAGAATTAGCAAAAAAAAAATAACAGTTCAGAAATTTATATGCAGTAAAAATCAGTAATTCATGTGTTTACCAACAAATGAATCATCCAATTCTAATAAATTAAAGTAGAGGGACTAACTTCAAACTTCTAAATTTTGGTGAAATTCATAATTCGACCAATAATTAACCAGAGAAAAGGCAAAATAGTACTAGCCTTATGACGGTAAACTGCTTTCTTTCTGGGAATGGAAGGGTTGTGAGCATAATATGAATCAGAGCTAATATACAAAGTGTCATCAGGGGTTAATAAGACCTCAGAAGAGAATCCAAGTGCATACAAGGACTTGTCAAGAAGAAGCCTCCCGACCGATTTGAGGTCACGCATAGACATGGCAGCTCCTCCATTTTCCTTTAAAGATGACAAAAACTTGCGCAGGTTGAACTGGCCCAGCAAAAGGGAAGACCAATTCTCACTGAAAGGAATGCTCAAAACTCGCTGAAGAGTGATGCCAAAGTGATTGGTGTAGGAGGGAAGAAAAGGAGCGGCCATGAACCGCTGCATGAAATCAATCTGATTCGGCCTGGAAAGCCTGGTCCCTCTCGATAAACCCAACGGTAAAGCATTCCCAGGGACAGCACGAGCCGCTCCTTCAAGGGTCCGAGGTGTGGAGGCATCCAATTCCCAAAAATCACCATCGCTTGCCCATCGGAGCTTCTTCATTGGCCTAAACCCAGAAAAGAAAATTGAAACCCTAAACCCAAAACTTGTGGCCAGTTTAAGAAAGAAAAATGTATACTAATTACAACACTTGCTGCCTGACAATGCTACTGATTCATGACCATCTACTCTGCCGAAACCCTAACCCTTTCAATTTCGAAATCATCACCTTCAATTTTGCAACTGCAGCAGCAATTCCACACTTTAAACCCTCTCCATTTTTTTTACTTTGAGCAGAATCTTATTTTTATTTAAAAAAAAAATAGAAATCAAGTGAATTGCAATTCGAAAGTACCAAATACGGATCCAAACAAAAAGCCCAGTAACAACGCTTCTATGCTCTAATGGGCTATGATAATTTTTCAAAGTAATTATAATAATAATTAATAAAAATGCTAAAATAAAAAATAGTCTTTAATACAAATTAAATACCCAAATTATATGCTAAATTATTAATTTTAATTGTTAATTTTTTATTAAAAATATATATTTAACATTCATGATGTTGCATGTTTGGACTATGACGACTATTAAAAAAGTTTATGTGACACTTATCGTTGCTATACTTTTTTGAAATTTTATATTTTTTTTAAAAAAAAAGTAAAAAAAAATAAGAAAAAGAAAAAAGTATTCTCTCAAAATTCCCTCTTCTTCATTCTTTTAAGATTGATTTTTCAGAAAATAAATATAAAATCGACGAAATTGAATAAAAAGAAATCATCATTTCTAAGAGTTTAAGGCTTTCTCAAATTTGAGAAGTTTGTGGTGTTTGTCTGAAAATCCGAACGGTGAGAGACATTATTTTAAGAAGACGAATAGTATATATGAAAACTAGTTTCATCAGATGATCATCGGAGGATATCACAGAATTAGCACATCGAACCTTTAAATGTGTTTTTATTGATTTTGGGTAAATTTAGTGGAAAACCAATCATAAAAGAAGAAAGTGAGTGAAATGCGAACATTTTAATACGAATCTTACTACAAAAGACGTCTGATGACAGACGACGATTGTCTACAAATGATAGTAGAAAAAGTTTACGACTTAAAATTAAACTTTTTAAAGTTTATTAACAAAATCGATACACCATTAAAATTCAACGCCTAAACCAATATCATTTTGGGCATTAATAGCCGCATCAAAGAGACTTCATTTTGTCTACATCATCACAATGACGAAAATATCCATCCACGTCATCGGCCTTCAAAATTTAATAATCATATAGTATAATTGAAGTAAAAAGTTTAATCTTATAATTGAAACAATTAAAAATATACATCTTATGTAATTTACCCTTAATAAAGATAACTGAAGAGAAATTAAGACGACAATTAATTTATCAACATCCGCTCACGTCCTCTCCATAATCATCCCTAGCAACCTAATACCCAAAGATACATTAACCTAATATTCTTTAGGGTAAACTATATGTTTGGTATACAAATTATTACTTTTGTTTTATTTTGATACTTAAATTTTACTTTTCTCAAAATTATATCCAACATTTAGTTTATGTTTCAACTTGATATCTATCGTTGAAAAAATTTACTAATGTGGCATTTTAAATTTTTTTCTAATTTTTTTAATGACAATGTAATATTATCTTATGATAACACGTCACCGTTATGTTTTTAACAACATAGTACCATTAAAGAAGATGTGTACATGAAACAAAACAAGCTTACATCCCATCTTTATTGATTCCATATTCATCACCTTGGCCCAGATAACATAGAAGGCAAAACTAAAGAAGACAAGGTCTCTGCAGCTTCAGGTGCCAATCCATTTAGAAAATCTTCATTCATGTTACCTACAACATCAATCACAACATCAACCGACCCCTCCAACAGCTTCATCACGGCGGACATGGAAGGCCTCTTTCCATATTCAGCCTGCAAACACCATGCCGCGACCTTCATCATCTCCACCACTTCCGCCGCATTCGACTGCATATCGTCGCTGCGCTTGTCGACCAACTCCACCAGTTGTCCTTCCTCTAGCTTCCTCTTAAACAGTTCCAGTAAATGCCTATCGTTCTCTTCTTGTTGGGACCCATCGATGTTTCGTCGACCGCATAGAATCTCAAGGACCACGATGCCGAAGCTATAGACATCTACTTTCTCGGTTATGACGGAGATCAACCATTCGGGAGCCATGTAACCTGGGGTTCCTCGCATGGTTGTAATGACTTGACTCTGGTCTTTCCTTATCAGCGTCGATAACCCGAAATCCGAAACTTTGGCAATGAAATTCTCGTCTAAGAGGATATTTTCGGGTTTGATGTCTAAGTGAATTATCTTCTGGTTGCAATCTTGATGAAGATAGGATAGTCCTCTGGCTATGTCTAAGATGATATTCTTCCTGATTTGCCAACAAAGAGCAAGGTCGACGTTGAAGATCCATCGGTCTAGCGATCCATTCGCCATGTGCTCGTAAACCAAAAGCCTGTTCAATTTTTCGGCACAAAATCCCACCAGGGTTACCAAGTTGAAATGGTGGATGTTCCCGATCGTCTGGACTTCGGCTATGAATGACTTGTTAACCGGACCGAAGCCGTCGAGATGCTTCACCGCCACATCGGAACCCGAAGGCAGTGTTCCTCGGAAAACCGACCCGAATCCACCTTCACCGAGCTTGTTGCTGAAATTCTTGGTGATGCTCTTCAACTCTTGGTAAGAGAATCTAGAGGGCATTCCAAACATATTGTCCAGATCATCTTCCTCAACTTCTTGGGACCCTTTAGTGCAAAAAAGATTAATCAAAGCCCCTGAAATAACTACAAAAATGAAAGCGGAGATAATCAGGAAATAAAGTTGAACAAGTGCGCCAACAATAATCGATGTGATGAGTAGAACGATAAGTGTGGTAAGTAGAAAGTAGCAACGGGCTTTCATCTCCTTCATCGTTTGCTCTCTAAAACTGGAACAATGGGTTTGCAGGAAAAGAGTAAATAAGATGCAACAATGGCGTCAAGCTTGACTAAGCCTAGAGAATATTCATGCTATCGTGTGTTGAATGTTCTTCTTTTTCAGAAACCAACAAGGTAGATGGAAAAGTGTGGCAAATATCGACAATTTTCTCTGGGAAACATATGGCTATATCTAGTTGTCAGAATTGAATCAGACTTATCTGTAAAATGGTTTACTTCTCGTCAATCACCGATTTCAGTGGACAGTGTTTTGTTCGTTAAACTCAAGGAATATTAGGTTAAAGATTAATAGATTTTAAAATATTTTTGAGAGTAGATATATATATTAATAATAAAAAATTATAAAATCAACATAAATAAAATTTCATGATAGATACTATTAATAAAATGAATAATTAATATAAAAGAATTTGAATTGATGTTGAAGGTGGATACTACAACAAAAATCTAAATGATCAAAATAGAAATACGAGTAAAATTAAGTAACCAAAAATTAGGTTACCCGTCAATTAATGTTGAGTTATGTGAGTAAAATAACATTTCTATGCTTTTTAAAGTAATGATGTGACATGATTTTATCAATATCCAAAAGAATAAAAGGATTTTAGGATGATCCTAAAGCAAAAATAGATTATAGTTGCATAATTGTGCAGGACAATATTACAACTTCCCAATGGGATAATGTCATAATTGGTATCTATACTTTGACAGAATGTATAATATGATATTTGTGCTTTGAAAATATCTAATGTAATATATATATGTATATATTAAAATAATATCTAATATAATACTTGAATTATTATCTAGTGTATTATTATAGTACCTATGAATTTGTATTGACGAGTATGTCATTTACTAACAATATTAACTTAGGTACAATTCAAGTATCATATTGAGCATTTTAAAGATTTTAAAGATACACGTATAACAATATATATTTGATTGAGTTCATTAAATGGCCTAAGTGATTAGCAAGAGTGTTGTTTTCCCTAAAAGTTTTATGTTTGAATAACTTCATTCTTATGGTATGTGTGTTGTCAATGGTTAAGAAAGATTATGAATATATTACACATGCCCGTCCATGTACAAGTATGGCACGTGACACATCGTAGGGTCCCAACATTTGAGGGGTCCACGCATGAATATCATTCAAGCCCATCTATAAATAACCTTGGTGGCTTAACAACATTTTCGTTTGAAGAAAAAATAAACTTTCCGTTTAGTTCTTCAAAAAGTGTCAAAAAAAAATTGCAAACAATATTTTAATAATATCTTTAATCGTTTTTCATTATAAATGGTAAAAAGATCTTATAGATCGCTCATAATTTTAAATTTTATAAATTAATCGTTATTATAAAATATTTTAGGGCTCTCATTTTAAAAAGTAATGCAAGATCAGCGTATCTTTTGGCACGAGCCTAATAATACTTTATAATTAGGTATAAATAACGTATTAAATATTTTATTAAAGTACAAATATCAAATTAGGTATTTTTGGTCAAAAAGGGTAAATGGGAAAAAGGATTGAGTAGTATTTGTGGTCAAAAAGGGGAAATAGGAACACGGATTGACCATGCAAGATCGTGTATTATAGCAGCCTTGAAAGAGAAAAAGGAACAACAATCCTTAAAAGCTTTCCCCAAGTCCTATGCAAAGCCCCGATTGGTTAACTTCTCAATTGATTGCAACATAAGCAGGGATGGCAACTCAACCCGAACAGACAGGTTTCGACCCGACCCGATCCGATATCGGATCGGATTTTTTTTAAAAAAATTCGGATTGGGTCGGTTTTTTTTAATACACTGTTCGGGTCGTGTCGGGTCGGGTTTAGAGTGAAAAAAATTCGACCCGACCAGAAAAATATATATAATTTTATCTATATATTTAAGGATAATTACAATATTACCCTTCTATATATAATTTTTTTCAAATAAGTCACTATTTTTATTGAATAAAAATATATTTTTTAATTATTTCGGGTCGAGTTAGGTCGGGTTTCTAAGTCATATATTCGGATCGGGTCGGGTCACGGGTGGAGGACCCTTTCTTCTCAGGTCGAGTCGGGTCGGGTGACCCAAAAACTCGACCCGACCCATTGCCATCCCTAAACATAAGCACTATCTATGATTATTCATTTTATTAAAAGGTAAACTTCGTATTTAGTCACTCAACTATCACTTTAGGTCCATTTTAGTCACCTAACTATTTTTCTTCATAATCATACATAATGTTACGTTTTGGTCCCACTTTGATGATCTACTGTTAAAAAACAATTGTTAACGTGACAATTTTTTTTTAATTTTTTTCAATGATGATGTGATATTAGCTTAGGATGACACATCAACATTACTGTTACTTTTTTAATGGTGAGTGACTAAAATGGAATCAAAACGTAACTTTAGGTATGATTTAAAAAATAATAGTTGAGTGACCAAAATAAAACTAAAGTGATAGTTGAATGACTAAATATGTAGTTTATCCTAAAAAAAATGGATATTCGCATATATTTTATGTTCATGTTAATTATTTTCTGTCTCAATATATGTTTTCAACTAATGCCAAATATTATTATTATTGAACAGAACTAATGCCAATTAACCAATGCTCTTTGGGATGGGAAATGGCTTCACAATGAGACATTAGAGCTGAAAACATAGGACTAATATACTATTTGACATATGAGTTTGGTTTGACATTCAATTTGGCATCGTCGTTGTTTTTGTCTCGATTTGGTATTCGAGTTTGGTTTTAATGTGTAATTTGGTACCCGGGTATGTTCGATCTAATACTCAACCTTTTTGCTGGCGCAATTAAATACTTTAATTCGGGTTCATTGTTTAATTTGATCGAGTTCTTTTCTTTCTACTGCGAGTGCACGTTCTAAATATTCATTAGGTTGTTTGGTCTCGTACCAAATTGAGCATCGAAGTTAAATTCAGGTATCAAAGTGAAATAAAAAATATTCAAATACTAAATTGAACATTAAAATTAACCCCGGGTATCAAATGATATATTAAACCTAAAAAGTATTCCACAATGACATGTCAAACTCACGAATGGCTAAAAAGCTGAACAGGAACACGGATTCACCATGCAGAAACGTATACGATACGTAGAATTGAGAGGAAAAAAGAAAAACACATTTATTTTATCTTAAAAGTTGTTCATGGTATCAAATTTGTTTTTAGATCTTTTAAATAAAATAAAAAATGTAAATTAGAATAAAATAATTATTTATAGTAAATATTTATAATATTCGGGGGCGGACCCCCCTTAGTTTAGGGTAGGCACTTAATATGGAATTTTTCGGTTAGTTACATATTTTATTGATTGAGTCCATCTTAAAATTTTATTAGTGTCCATCCCATACGAAAAATATGTATTATCAATACATGTGTGTCTATCCTCAAAAATATTTTTAGATCCGACATTAATAATATTCAATTCCAATTAATTACCTATGGATAATGGATCAAATGCTTATGATTATATATATAAACTATCCTAGGTTGTGTCCAACAAGAAAAAGTTGTCCTAGGTCTATGTAAAGTCACAATTGGAAATTTCGGCTCACATATGATTCTGTTCCATTTATTATGTTTAAATTTAAATGGTATAACGATAAAATTAATTCATAACATTTGATAAAATTATAATTTTGATCCTTATTCTTTTGAGTACTTTGATCCAACATTTTATTTTAGAGTAAAATGCATCCTGGTTGAATAGAAACTGTTAGTTGATTAACAATCAACGCTTCCTACAACTAAACAAGTCATTAGGGCAGAAATGTATTTACTTATAAACTATAATTGTAATTATTTATATTATAATTAATATATTTTCATAAATGTATATGTAATTAATTATAATTACAATTTATTTTAATTATTTTTGTTGATCAAAATATAATAAATAAATTAACTTGGTTGAACCAATTTACCCAATCCAAGACCTTATATATAGACCTGAAAAAATGATTCAAAATCCAAAATAAACCAAATCGAATCGAAATAGATCCGTATATTAGTTGAACCAAAAAACAATCCGAACCGACATTGATACATTCAATCCAGTAGATGTTTAATCGTGACATCTGTGGGTAGAGCCCAATTATAAGTCTGGTTGCCTAGTGACACATTATTTATACTAGTACCCATCAACCAACATTATGGAGTTAACAAATTAGGTACCCAAATAATTCATTACAACAGGCTTAGCTACCTAACAACTAATCAACTAATAGATATTAACAGTTAATTCCCCTAACGGTACACTAATCATATAACTTCCAATCATATACAATTATAGATATTGAAATTATTACTTAGTTGTTATGGTTATCAGAAACGGCAAAACTTCCACGTAAATGCAAATGTGAATGTTTAAGTCCCAAAATAATGTTGTAATGCTATTATTTCCCCAAATGTGGTTTTTGCTACAGTTAAGTTTGATATCTCGGCGTCTTCAGCAGATTTGCATGGAAGCTTGGAGCTCTCGGCGTCTTTGCATGGAAGGTTGGATCTCTCGGCGTCTTTAACACAATTTCCATGCATGATGGATATGTGGGAGTTGTGCATGTGTGATTGATCTCCCGGCGTCTTCAGTTGGATTCTTTATAGGAACTCTCGGTGTCTTCAGTGCTGTGCATGGGATTGGACGTGAGAAATCACGGGTTGTGCAGGGAGATGCCGTTCCATGTCCCAGGGTGAGCACATAAATCAAGGGTTGAGCAGGGGCTGCACGTCTGCATGTGGGGGGCCTGCACGTCTGCATGTGGGGGGGCCTGCACGTCTGTATCATGCAATTGTTGGATTTATTACACGATTTCTCGACGTCTTCTTCACATTTGGGTAAGGATTTCTCGGCTTTTTCGTGGAAATCTCGGCGTCTTCTTAACAAATAAATCCAATAATGCATGCACGAGATGAGTTACGAATGTGTTTATAAGAGACTGCTCGGGGCTGAGGC